CACGAATTTGTTTTTCTCGTTTTTCTCGGAAATAAAGCGATATTTTGGCAAATGAAGTATACCACGGTTTATATCGCATCAAGGTCTTCCTAATACCAAAATATGAGCGAATTCGATTTTTCGGCTGTTGCCGGCGTATGGTCGATTTTTGCTGACATCCTCTCTTAAGAACAATTTTATGAATGGTTAAACTCAAATTATTGAACTTCCATGTAAAAATGCAGTCCAGTTTTGAAACTATGTGCTCTAGTGTCTTGCTTTGATGTATTCCTGGACTGAACATTGCATGAGAGTAATGCTTCTCCCTTGATCATATGGTTGTTCTCTGGGTTCTTTTTCCCCCCTCACTCCTCCAAAACTTAAAGTGCTTATAAGCCTTTACACAATATTTTCAGAATTGATTCTTTAAATAGTGAATAGTTGATTGTGAAAATAATTCGTCATTTGAAYRTCGGGTCTTTGAGATACGAAGGTTTATATTTCCAATATGTTAATGATTATGACGTAACATAAGGGATGTGAGTTATTTTGTGGCAATTTTTAATATTGAACGCTGGACAATTTTCGAAAACAAATTTGTAAGAACCTTTACATGAGTCACGAGTAAAAGGGAGATGCTTTTAAAATACTGTATTCCAGAATGAGTGCAGTGCTGTATATTAAATGATCCCTTATGTTACGTCATAGTCATTAACATATTGGGAATATAAACCTTCRTATCTCAAAAACCCGACATTCAAATGACGAAATATTTTCAAATCAATTATTCACTATCTAAAGAATCAATTCTGAAGATATTGTGCAAAGGCTTATAAGCACTTTAACAAGCTACAGTAAATCTCAATTTAATCTAAGTATGAGTAAGTATGATGTACATGTACTTAGATCGACCAGCCCAGAGATTATTTCAGAATTTGATTGGTGAGTTATATATATTAGCCATACCTTGACGTAGAGTAGATCAGCCCAAAGGTCGTTACAGGGTTTGATTTGTTAGTTTGTCATGCCCTGACTTTGATCAGCCCATAAGTTGGTTCAGGGTATTGATATGAAATTTGATGGGTATATGAGCTTATATACTTGCTTACCAATCTGTTCACTAAGTTGTGACCACAAGAACCTTGGTAGATATTTGATATTCCAGATATCATCATGATAGAAACTCTTTTTCTTTCCGCCTTTTAACCAGTAAAACAAACAAAACCATAAATACGTTTTGACTAAAAAAAGACATACACTACTCTATACTTTTTCACCTACCAATGATTGTGTTATTAAGGGAATTAGCGACTTGTTTGGCTATTTTTTTGTTTTTAAACTCAACCCATCCTTCTGTAAAAGCTTTCCTTCCACTTCCTCCAAATTTCTTTCTCTTTTTTCTGACAGATTCATCTACAAAACACGAACAAATTTTTATAACACGTTCTTGAGAATTCAAAACATTTAGAACCATTTTTCAAACCTTCAGGCTGAAGAAAAAGCCTTCCAACTTCGCCATATTGAGAGAATATATATCTAACTTTAGATGGCTTCATAAATGGTGGCAATCTACTCAAGTAAATAATCCCTGGTTTGATTTCTTTAATCTTTTTCTTCTTTACTTGCTTCTCTGTGTCAGCCATCTTGAAATTACTTGCCGAGAGAGAACTGGAACCTAAACCACAGGAAACCCAAACGGCTGTTCCAATATTCAAATTCGAAAGGGAGAAATAAATTAGGAAATTATTAAATATAATATTAGCAAGTAAAATTCTTAAACATGTTTGACCAAAGAATTTGTTTCTTTGGAGTTGTGTCGCAAGGCCTGGTTCAAATGCGCACAAAAACCATTGAATTGAAGGTCAAAGATGTTCCAAAGATTTAAATTTYACCTGAAACCACTTTTGACTTTGGATAAAAATCCCTGGCAAACAGAAAAAGCACGAAAACTGTTTAAATAGAAACCCTTTTTTTTTTGTCTTGGACCCGGCCGGAGGTCGATTGCCATACGAGTGACGTCACACTTAAAAATGCATGGTCAGCTGAGTCCGCCATTAGTAGTACATAACCACGTGCAAAGATGGCGGACGGAGGTAAGAAAACTTATTTTACGCAATAAAACAACTTTTTCACTAACAATTACAAAATTTGACTTTGATATCTCTGAAAATTCTGGGACTCCTTGTTTTGGGTTTCATTTGAGGCTGTATTATAATTTGTTCGCGTGTTTTTTGTTGCAAAAAGAATTCTTGTCTCGTATAAAACATTTGCTTTGCAATCCATTTGTTTTCTTTTTCTTTAGTTTAAATTACAGAAAATTTTGCGATTATTCTATCAAAAATTGCATTATTAACGAGAAAAGAAGACTTTGAATCTGAAATTTGATTATCTTTCATACTTGTACAGATAAAAACATAATATTGCAGGTTTTTATAGCCACCATGTTGGAGGAATTTAACAAAATATGTCATTTTAGTCTTTTATTGTATCCAACGTGGCTGCCTTTTTTGTTATCTTATTCTCTGGGAATGATCGCAAACAAGTAATACATGCATCCAACAATATATGATAATAAAGTGTAAATAAATGCATCATCATCATTATCATCATCATTATATCATCATCATTATTGTCATAATCATTATTATTATATGACCGTGAATCTTAGAGCCTGGACACTAGCAAATCGAGCAATCTGATTGGATAGATCGCATTGCGGACTGGTCTAGATTCTCCGGTATTAACCTTTTCCATTGCATATTAATCTTACGGTGAAAACATTTTGTCCTTTTCAATGAAAAGTGGTCATATAATAAAACTCTTATCAACCGATCTTGGTCAGTCTGTACGGGATAATCTTGACCTCGGTCGGGTACAGACCTCGGTCAAGAATATCCCGTAAAGACCTCCCGCTTGGTTAATAAGATCTAATTACTAATTATTTATGAGGCCTAGAGTTACTGGAGATTCTCTTTATCTTTTTTTTTTATTTGTTCAAATATGACCATCAAAGGTGATGAAGAAATGGAGTTATACGACAACAGTGATGATGATTTTGAAAGTGAGGAATCAGGGTTAATAATGGGGCAAATGGACCAAGGAATCAAACAAGAAACACAAATCGGTAAAGGTGAGCAAAGAACTATATATTAGAGTGCATACCCTATATCAGTGGAAAAGTGCATTCCACATACGGTCATATATCCATGAAGAAGCTAACTAACAAAATTGTACAAATGAGTGCAAAGTCTTGTAAGTCCACATTCTAATGAGGTCTACTGAAGTTACTAATTATTTGTGAAAATCTGTACCATTTTTTAAAACGTTTTTTTTACGGATAAACAATGTATGGTATGCATTCTACTGTATGATACAAGATATATCCCTTGCTAAGTGGTCTGATTTCGTAGGTAAAAATCCAAGGACTATGGATACCACTGACGTCAGTAATGAACCCCAAGAAACTACAGGTTAGTGTGCTTGAGTATGAAATAATTTACCTTGGAAGCAGAATCTTATATTCAATGTCAAAAAGTAGTATAAGCTTAGAAATTCACACACATCAACAACAGTTTATATGGAATTCTTTGCCTTGTATTTTCACTCTGAAGTTGACCGTTGTTACTGTTGGAACGTTCAGTTAAAAAACTTCAAAAATGTCGTTATTTGTCTTCAATTTATCTCACAAATTTCATAATTAATATATGTTTATTAGACCTTTTTTCATCTGCAAATTAAGCTGCTTTGGGATATTTGCTACCAGTTGTCTATTATATTATATAATGCTATTAATAATAATAATAATAATAATAATTATTATTATTAGAATAATAACAAGATTTATATAGCGCCTTAATCCTTTTAGTCCAAAGGCGCTGTTTACAATCCAACATATATGTATATTATATATAAAAGGAAATGAGAGATATATATGTACATATAATTAATTAAAAGAGGTATCTAAAAAAAAAATAGTTGAATCAGTCTTGGTGATATAACCCCATCTTTAATATCATATGTAACTTTATAAAAGGCCAACTTGGTTCACCGGTAGACTGTGGGTTTTATCAGAAGGCACAAAGGTAATAACAATTAGTATCACAAAATTATATGCTATATCATTTTGTAATAAGGCAAAAAGAAAAAGAAGAAGAAAAAGAAAAAGAAGTCAAAAGAAGGAGAAGGGAGTTTTGAGGAGGAAAACAAAGAGGTTGAGGAAAATAAAGAGGTAATGAATAAATATAGAATTTCTATTATTATGATTATTAAATATAATTATCATCATTGTCATTATGTAAAATCATTAAAGTGCACCTAACTCCTGATACAATAGTTTCAGTATTGATTCTACATAAAGTAACTAGTTGAATGGTGAAATATTTCTTCATTTGAATGTTTCATCTTTAAGTTATTAGGGTTTATACTTCCAATATGATATACTGACTGTGACGTCACCCCAGGCTTCATTAAATATACAAATTTTGACTGGTTCATACAAACAGTTTTTTAAAAAAATTGTTATTATACTCAAGGTTTTCACAATGTTTATCGTAAATTTGATGTCTCATAATGGCTATTGTTTGGTATTGAAAATTAAAACAAATACACTCAAAAGCCTGGGGTGACGTCACAGTCAGCAATGTAATGGAAGGGTAAACCCTTATAACTTAAAGACGCAACATTCAAATGAATAAATATTTCACCATTCAACTATTCACTTTATGTAGAATCAATACGGAAAGTATTGTATCAGGGGCTACGTGCACTTTTAAAAATATATGCACATGTACTCAATGTTTTTTTACTTCAAGATATTTTTGCCAGGAGATAAAATGGAAGAGGGTGATGAACTAACATATGACAGCAGTGCTTACAAAATGTATCATGCAGTAAGTTGAAATATTTGAATTAGTTAATAATGCATTTAGTTTCCACTTTTTTGCTTGCCGTATTTTTTCAGCAGATTTCTTTATGTAGTTTCAAATAAATGGTGTCCAAAGTGGTTATAATAGGGACTTTAAGATTCGCAAAATCTGCGAGGGCTTCTTCAACTGGAAGTGTAAATTACGGCACTTTAGGTTTCAAGTCCTCTTATAATCTGTCTTTCTTGTGGATTAGTTGACTTTACTGACAATGTTTTGAATGAAATCTCCAATGAACAGAACCCCAAAGAGAAATTATTTACACTTCCAGTTGACGTCGCCGTCATAGATTTTGCACATCTTAAAGTCCCTATTAATTCTCCATGACACATGCAAAATATAATGCATTATTGTTGCAATGAAGTAGTTTTTGTTTGACAACAATTAAGGCATTTCCATGACATTCCATATAGCTTGTGCCCTTGAAAACTGGAAACACTTTGATTGATATCCACCAGAACACTAATTTTGTTGTGGAAAATTGTACAATTCTGCATTGTACAACTAGACTGTTGAGAATGACTGCAAGTGATTTTACAGGGCAGCATATAGGTGGCTTTAATGGAGCACATGCATGTCTTAAATTTCATAATCACTTCGCGTTATTATTTTCTAGGCACAAACAGGGTCACCTTGTCTGAGCTTTGATGTCATTCCAGATGGCCTTGGTGAATCAAGAACAGAGGTAGCAAGGAAAAAAAAACAAACATCTTGTGTGTTAAACTTGATAACTCTTCATCAGTTTCTATTGTTAATTAATACTGTATATTCTATTAGCCAAAGAAGAATAAAATCGATTTTACAATGATATATGCCTTGTGGACTGATGGCTTGTTGATTGTTGCCATGGATGCACTGATAGCTTGTTTTTTTTTGTCTGTGTTGCTATAGTTTCCAATGACGGCATATATGGTTGCTGGTACTCAAGCAGCATTTGGTCAGCAAAATCACATTATAGTCATGAAGATGTCAGATTTATATGAGACAGAACATGAAGATACAGGTAATACATGATAATGTGATGATGCCAATGATGCTGATGGTGATCATGATGGTTATGGATGATGATGCTGATAAGTGATGGTTGATGATGATTGTTGATGATGTTGATAATGATCATGGTTGTTGAGGATGATGATGATAATAATGTTAATGATGATTCTCATGATGATGATGATGATAATCATTATGCTTGTTGAAGATGATGATGGGTGTCAATGATGTCGATGTTGATAATAATCATAGTTAATATTGATGATAATTATAGTTGATGGTGATACTGTTGTTGGTTGATGCTGATGCTGATGATGTTCATGATGATAATGTTTCTTCTTGATAATGATGATAGGGCATGATGATAAAGGTTGATGATGATGATGATGTCTGTTGATAATGATACTGAAGGGTTTTGTTGATGATAATGATGATCCCTCTTAATATGGTGATGTTGACAGTGATGATAATAATCATAATTATACTGAAAGTTTATATTTTCTCTGTGACCGATCATAATGTAGCTGACTCAGATGACGATGAATATCTTGATGAAGAACCAGATATGGAAACAAGCATGATAAAACATGACGGAGGAGTTAATAGAATACGAGTAAGTCATGACGGTACTTGATGGTGTGAGACAGTGTATATGCTGTTGATGATGTGTGAAGGATAATACTGATGATGAATGATAATCTGGTGCTGCTGCTTCAGATGATGGTGATGGTGATAATGATGGTGATGGTGATGGTGATGATGATGAAGGTGTTGGGGGTGGTGGTGGTAGTGATAATAAATTATAATGATGATGATAGTGATGATGGTGCTGCTGCTACTAATGATGATGGTGATATTGATGATGGTGATGATAATGATACCAATGATGATGGTGCTACTGCTAATGATAATGATGGTGGTGATTATGATGGCATCACTGATGGTGATGATGATGTCTCATGATAATAATGCTTTGATGATTATAATGAATGTGGAGCTGAGTTGATGCTAATATGATGCTAATACCTCCTTTTATTCCATTCCAGTTTTCTCATATTCCCAATCGGCATATAGTGGCAACATGGTCAGATAAAAGTAAAGTCCACATATGGGATGTCTCTGCACAAGTTATCACTGTAGACAATCCATCATCACCAACACAGATCAAGGAAGTTTCTCCCTTGTTTACATTCACTGGACATCTTGTAAGTGGATGGTGATGATGATGATGATGATGATGATTATGATTTATATAGTGCCCTTTTCTATGTGGATTATAATCAAAAGGTGCTTTACATGGAGTTGTGAATGACATGTAATGATAATAATGACACTGACACTCACACCCACACCCACACTCACACCCACACCCACACTCACAATGACAATGACAATGATAATAATAATAATCATCTTCATCATCGTCATCATCATCCAACTAGTTGTTCAAATATAGAGATTGATTTTTATGTAAAATTTAATGTTTTGGGTTTCAAAGCAGGCCCTTTTTTGCTACTAATAACTTATAGCCTAGTACTGGTAGTACTGCAGCATTAATGATAGACCTCTAGTTGAATTTCATTAAGCCATTTAAATGTGTGTTTTATTTGCCAGAGTGAAGGTTTCGCTATGGATTGGTCAAGGAATGTTACTGGAAGGTAAAGACAAACAATCAAGATAAATACCCTACCTTCAAATCCTGGCTATAATCCATTTATAAGGATTTCTTAATGGGCTTATGACCAGGTTGAGGGTTGGCTGCAGGGCTCAGTGACAGATCCAGGAATTTTAGAAGGAAGGTTACTATTACAAAGGTCTTAAAAGGGGGCGGCTTACTAATTAGGATAAAACTGAGAAAATTGAGCAAAACGGGGTGGCAATCCCTGGACCTGCCCCTGGGGCTTATGACRTTACCCTGTAAAAATGAATTCACCTTTTTGGCGCTAGCCGTCATGGGGTATAAATTGTGTTGGATTGTGTTACTGTCAACAAAAAGTTCGGACATTGTTCTCAAATTTCCGTACGAATATACTGACTCTAAATGAACTATTTACTTGGTTAATGTTTAGTTAGTTCTCTAAATATGAGTGAATTATCCTTTTTCTAGCTTGATTGAAGCTTTTCTTACTGTTGTTAAGAGAGCTAACTAAAGAAATCTACCTAAATTTTCTTTTTAAAGTCAGTGAATTAGTATGGAAATCCGAGAACAATGTCCGAACTTTTTGGTGACYGTAACACAATCCAAGCTAGCGCCAAAAGGTGAATTGTTACACAAAAAGCAAGCATTAGTATGAATACAGCCCAAACTACACTAGGAGTGCTGATAAGGACGGCTGTGATGCCGCATTTATGAAATAATGAAATAATAATTAATAATCAAATATATATTTGATACTTGATTGACAGGTTGCTTACAGGAGACTGCAAGCATAATATTCACGTATGGTCACCACAGGATGGTGGTGGATGGCATGTTGATCAAAGACCTTATAACGCACATACTGACTCTGTTGAGGACTTACAGTGGAGTCCAAATGAACAAAATGTAAGTAAGGGATGAGGTCCAAAGAATGGGCCAAGGTTTTAGGTTTTAGTTTCCCAGAAAAAAAATCACGAGTTGTTTCTATTATTTTATGATACTACCGATAGGTAAACAAAAAACAAAAACAAACAAACAAACAAATTTAAAAAAAACAGCCCCGTACCCCCAAGAAAGCTGTTAAAATGCTTGATACTGGGTGTCATTAGTGACTATTAAATAATAAATAAGGCATTGTTTAGCATATATACTGGAGAAATTTATTACTGCAAGTTGACTTTTGGAGATGTTTGAGGATAAACTCCAATGGTGGTGGATATATAATTATATACCAATCTCTAGTGTTGGGAAGCACGGGTGGTGTAGCCGTGTGAGCGCTTGCTTCTCATCAATGYGACCTGGGTTTGGGTTACGCTGAGCTCAGTGTCGTATGTGAGTAGAGTTGTTTGTTGGTTCTCTCTGCTTCGAGGGTTTTCTGGGTTCTCTGTATTTCCTCCCTCTGCAAAAATCAACTCCTAAATTCCAATTCGATCACGGAATGAGGGCCACAGGTTTGTTAGCCACTGGCTATTAAGTGCTACCCTTGTGAAAAAAGGACGGTTTTTTTAGTGTATACAGCATGGAAATGAGACAATAAAATCAATCTTGATGAAAAACCTAAATTCCTAACTAAAATATTATTTAAATGCTTTTTAATAGGTGTTTGCTTCTTGCTCTTCTGATAAAACAATACGTATCTGGGATGCTAGAGCTGCACCATCAAAAGCCTGCATGCTCACAACACAAGCCCATGATGCAGATGTTAACGTCATCTCTTGGAACAGGCTAGAAATCATTCTTACAGTAGTTATTCTATGGAATTGGGGTTGTTCTGGTGAAAAACGATTCTATTCTTGGTCTTCTCAGCTTTTTTATGGTTCTGCATATCTTATTTGGATTCATATTTTATTCCAGAAATGAGCCTTTCATTGTATCAGGAGGTGATGATGGGATAATCAAGATTTGGGATCTCAGACAATTTCAAAAGTAAGTCTTATAATTGCCCATGACCAAGCTGCAATGTAACAAGGCTACGTTTGAAGATACACTTGACGACAAGAAATATAAAAAAGTTCTTGAGATGCTTTTTTTTGACATGCATTTAGGCACAATAGGCACAATATTTCGGCACAATATACCATTTTATAAACAAAATGTCAAAGTCAGTAGTTGTTACTAGGGTCTAACTAGGAAACTATATGGTTTATTTAGGCTCAAGGCATTTCCTTTCATTACCACTAACCACTTATAATAATTTGGCTTTATTTATTTGACCAAATAAGTATTTTCTTTTCAATGATCTAGATATATTAATGTAATCTAACATAAAAGGAAATGTGGATAAAGATGTATTGTATTGTATTACCTAGGTAACTTGTCTTCACTCTGCCACCTTATTACTTCAGTGACAGATCACACTCTTTTTTCTTGCATAATCTTCTTGAAAACCTCTTCTCCATACACTTTGTGTTGCATACACAAGAACATACATAGAGTCTTTACGATTCAACATGATCATATTCTCTTTCAACTAGTGGCGAGTCTGTAGCTCTTTTCAAGCACAACACTGGTCCCATCACCTCAGTAGAGTGGCATCCAACAGATAGCTCTGTGTTTGCTGCTTCCTCTGAAGACAATCAGGTTACTCTCTGGGATCTGGCTGTAGAGAGAGACGACATGGCCGAAGGACCTGGTCATCACCTCGACGTACCACCACAGTTACTTTTTATCCATATGGTAAGTTATGACATGCTTGGGAAGGGGTGGGTGGAGGGGACTCACCAATTTATTTCATGTTTTTAATGTTCTCATTTAGACCATTCCTCCTTGTATATTTTCCATTTTCCATTACATACCACATGTCATCCCCTTGAGAAAATGATTCTTCGTTTGAGCTGAATTGATATTCATGTGTCTTCTTATAAGCAACCATTAAACAAATAAATACACCCTCCTCATAATGGCTGATGAATGCATGGAAACGACGTCACCCAAGGTCATCTTGCAAGGTTGCTAGCCAGCTGCACACTCAAAATAAAGGCTGTTAGCGCTAATTCAGATCAAAACAAAGGTCATTTTTTATACTTTTCTTCTTTAAGGTCATTTCATGTAATTTTATATCTTTTATCGTGAAATAATGACTGGGTGACCTCGTTTTCGTGCACTTGTCAGCCATTATGAGAAGGGTGTATGATACTCTATGGAATGATCTTTGGACTTAACTTGGGATCAAACCATTTAGAAATAGAGGTGTATTGACGACTCTTAAAACTCCAGTGTATGTGGACTAAGCCTCACTTCTGAGGTTGGTAATCAAAAGCAGAAAATTAATAAAATTAGAATAACAAAACAACTTAGCAACTCCTGGATTCGAGGCTAATCCTGTATGCACTGGAGTTTTAAGAGTCGTCAGTTGATGGCCAAGCGTACTAAAAAAAATTAAAATTTTTTATAGGGTCAAAAATCTGTTAAAGAAATTCACTGGCATGAACAGTTACCTGGTGTTATACTCAGCACAGCAGAGAGTGGATTCAACATATTCAAAACTATTAGTGTATAGGTACAGATATTTTCAATCAGTAAATATGTATGGGTCATTTTAAGACGTCACAAAATGTTGGTTTTATTCGAGTGGTTCTTCATCAATCTGAAAGTACTTCATTTTCTGGCAGACTATATTTGCATGACTCAATCACATGACTGTCCACAATCTGCAAAAAACCTTAGGAACTCAAACAAAATACCAAATAAAATTAAGCTAGTTGGACAAATGCTACTTTTTTTCTTGTTCCTTCAAAGCTCAAAAGCCGAGTTGACAAGGATTCTGCATTGTATTAGTATTTCTTGCAATTCTACCAAGAAAATCCATGAATCTATTATTTGTATCATATACTTTTTATTGTAAGCTGGAAGATACAGTTTATCCATTTCTCATGCTCTGCTGCATTAGGCACTGGCTAAATGAGGAAACATGTTTCCCTAAATGTTTCCTAGGGTGGCAAAACTGTCAGGAAACAATGTTTCTATGCRTCTTGGAAACATGAAATGTTTCTGCCGCACAGCAAAAACATTTTTTGCGTCTTGGAAGCAAAATTTGTTGCATGCAGCAATGTTTCGCATGTGACTAAACTGGGAAACATCGAGGAAACATGCGCACGGTAAACATGTTTCAGGAAACCTTTTTTTCTCGTTTAGCCAGGGCCTTAGTTTGATTCTGCCCTTGAGCGTTCTACAGGGACTTACAAATTAAATGGGAATGGAAAGAAATGAAAAGAAAAAGAGGTAAGAGGATGGGATGTAAATGGGAAAGGAGTGGAGGGACGATTCATTATCATGCTCTTTTCATTCAACCAAACACCAAACATTACTTTGGGTAGATAATTTATTGAATTTGTTACAAAATCCCTAAAATCATGGAGAGGAGTGAGAGGAGTGGAGGGACGACTCATTATCATGCTCTTTCCATTCAACCAAACGCCAAACATACTTTGGGTAGATAATTTATTGAATTTGTTACAAAATCCCTAAAATCATGGAGAGGAGTGAGAGGAGTGGAGGGACGATTCATTATCATGCTCTTCCATTCAACAAAAACCCAAACAGACATTGGGTTGATAATTTATTAATGTTGTTGCAAAATCCCTAAAGTTATGTTCTCAAAGTCCAGATTAAAGTGTCGTTTTTTTTAGTGAAAACTTTAAATTTGCCTTTTGTGTAATAATTTAGTGCTAAGGAGAAATCAGATATTTCTGTAATCTTAAAATGTTCATGAGATAACATCTTGACAAAATTAGTAGATTTTTTCTTCTAACTTAAGGTTTCTGTACATATTGAGAGATATTCAAGAGAAGATGCCTCACTGAACAGGAATTAAATCTACATGCTAATATTGATTATTGGCTATTATTGCACAAAAGCTTCCCTGCTAGCAGAACCTATTTTCCTTTTGTTTTGGTTGAGAGAGACTCTGCCGATGTAGAACGTTATTTCTGTTGCACCTGCGTAGCGTAACTTAGCAACGCTGTCATGATTTTGACAGCCGCTCTCGTCAAACAACGTTTGGCGCCAGGGTGTGTTACATTTGCTCATGCGCACTACATGTACCCGGTTAAAAACCGGTTTTAAAACTGGTTTTGTTTGTCCACGATCGTGGATGGCGGTGTATCAAAGGAAATGCTCTACATTGGCAGAGTCTCCTTCCTCCCCGCCTGAAAGGGTTTACAGTCATTTCGCCCACGGACCATTTCGCCCACGCCAATTCGCCCACGCATAAAATCATCGCTACCATTGGAAATTACCAAAACAGAACTTCGATGAAACTTGTTAAAAAGAAACATAGTCTCTTGAAAGACATTTGTATGTGATTTTGAAGCATATTTGGAGCGATCATTTCATGATACGATCAGTGAAAGTGGAGATCTAAACGCGATCAAGGACAGCGTTCACTTAATAGCTACCATATAGAGTCCGAGTCCGTTTCTACCAACTTATGACTCGGATGACTTTATTTCCCCATACTCTAATCTATGAACTGTGTGCTTTGGGTAGCTTTATCATTYTTTATCATTTTTTAACTTGCCAAAGTTCGAGAAAAATACAAAATACCTTATGCGCGGAACATCGATCGACAAGCGACGCCATATTGTTTTCGTGTAATCAACAAGCTTCCTAGTCGTTTACTGACACTTTCTTTTCTTGAAATCCATTACACTTTATCATTTGCACTAAAAAACTAAGACGAAATGTTCTAGCGACTTTATCTGGAATAAATTTGAGGCCATTTAATATCTGATGTAAACGCCAAATTTTAACGATTGAGTGGAACAATCGAGCTCAGTTTACGGTGTTTCATAGGCCGGAGTCTTTTCGCTACCAATAAGTTTTTTAGTCTTCGAAGAGTAGTTTGTTGAAAACATTACAATATCTTTTTTCTTCATCGAAAAATCGAATGTTTAGGACATATTTATTGCTTYTGACTTGCCAAGGTTCGAGCTAGAAAAGCCAAAATACCTTTACGCCTATTAAACATCGATCGACAAGCGACGCCATATTGTTTTCGTGTAATCAACAAGCTTCCTAGTCGTTTACTGACGCTTTCTTTACCTAGAATCCATTAGACTTTATTCTTTTCACTAATAAAGTTAAAGGAAAAGATATGGTGCTTTGAGATGG